ACTGAAAAGAATCATTGACTGTTTCTCACATGTGCCCAACACCTTCTATACTTGGGGATGGAGCCACATGGCTCAGTTTCTCTCACCTGTCACAGCTCCAATCCTACTGGTCCCTTCAAGGCCCAAGCCCAATGCCTGCCTTCTGTGACGCCCCCACGCTCCTTAACCAGAGAGATGCTTCTCCCCCTTCGTGTTCCTGTGGCTCCTTGTATATTTTCATGACATTTCATCACTTCCCAGCTTATGTTGTTATAATATGATGCATGGCTCATTTCCACTTATTAAGTATAAACCCCCGCAGGCTGGGGCTTGGCCTTATGTAACTTTGCCTTTCCCAGCAGGACCAGCTGTGTGTTAGGGGAAATATTTGTTCAATAAAAGAAGGAATAAAAAGCAGGAGAAGGAACATTGCTATTTCCCTGCTCCCCACCACTGCCTCGAAGAGAGAGAGGTGAGGTGTTTTGGGCTGAGAGAGCAGGGAGGAGCGAGTGACCATATTTATAGGTGACTAATGCTTTCCTAAGGAAATGGAAGATTTGCAATCATTACAGCTTTGCAAAGCTTTATTTCCCCACTTAAGGGCCAGCCCTCCAATTTTGCAATCTGAAAAATAGCAGAAATCCAGTAACACAGGGAAGGCCATACCCACATCTCAGTGGCTATTTTTAGGTCATTGTAGCATGGTTTGGGCAGTGAACAGCTTCTGCAGCTCAGAGATCCTGCTGATGTTCTCACCTATGTTTGCTTCTCATGCTCCCTCAGGCCCAACTGTAGGTTCCTCACCTCATCCATTTCCCCCAAACCCTCCAAGGTGGTGCACCTAACAGCTGACCCATGACCACTTCTGTGCACATCTCTGTGGATAGCCACAGCTTGTGGTGCTTGATGATAGCCGTCTGGAGTCTGAGGGCCCGTGGGCCCCAGCACACTGTGAAAGGGTGGAGATGGCAGGCAGCCCTGACCAGGGAATGGATAGAGACAGAGCAAGATAAAATGCTGTCTTACAAGTGTATTTGATTTTTTCTAGCAAAAAAGGGGGTGGGGCTTAATGGACCAAATCTTGATGTACTATTTCCCATTAGTAATTCAAAGACCAAATCCCAAGTCATTGCAGCTTCCCGGCATTTGGGCCCAGACTCTCTCATTCTTTCTGGTAACAGGCTTCCATCCCTTCCCTCCACTGGCTTCATCACTATGACTTTAGGGACCCAGCTAAGCACAGAGCTCAGCAAAAACACCATGAAAGACTTGAAGGGCACAGAGATGAGGGCAAGCTTCTTGGGTTGCCCACCAATCCAGCATTTAACAAGGTAGCTTTTTACATCCATGGAGTGTAACACACACCTGCCATGTGAATCCACTGGGAAGAGAAGGGGGTTTTCCATAAGAGGACCTTGGATCACATTGGTTTCGGTCCCAACTTTGCTCCCCCACTCTCTGCCACATGACCTCAGGGTGTCATCCAACTCACTGGAGCTCCAGTTTTCTAAGGCCAGGCAATCTCTGAGTCATCACCTATCGCTCACACTCTCTGACTTTACTTGTGAGTTATTAAAAGTGTCACCTGGCAGTGAGCTAACATCAGTTGTCCAGAGTTTCCACAAATGAAAATGCCGCCACTGGTGGATCTACCCATCGTGCTCCTCTCCATCCTGGTTTCTACACTTCGGCCAGAAACATCTCACTCATCTCTTGTCTTACATGAACCACATCATTTAAGTCTCTGGTTAAGACTTTTTCCTCAGAAAAGCACTCAGTTTAAAAGTCCATGTTCATTGATGTGGGTTCATGACCTCACTTTTTCCTGTCCTCCACCCCAGCCAGCCCTCGGCTCTTCCAGTCTTTCCCTGAAGGTCTTTTCCGCAGCTCTGGTGACTTATTCCTACTCTGTCTTTGGGTGTCAGTGTAGCTAGCTCATCCCTTCCCTTTAGAAATCCAGGCTTGAACTTGCCGGTGTGTGCCACAACCCCAGGTTTACCTCTACTTGAGTTTCACCACTCTGCTTCACACCGTCTGTTCACACCCCTCTTCCCTAGACTGTGTTCAAGCACAGTGGCCTTCGTGTACCCCACTACACTTTCAGTATCTTAGCACAGTGCCTGGCACTCGGGAACAATTGAAGGGACATAGGAGGTGCTCATACCCACCTCTCTCCTAGTGCATCTTCTTTCCCCAACCTCCTGGGAGCCCTGCATCTTTGGAACACCTGCCCAGGTACTGACCAGCCAAGACTTTGTGGCCACCACCTTTCTGCTTGGTGAGTCCTATAATTTCCTCCAATAATACCTGTGGTCTTTGGTGTTCTTTAGTCCCCAAAGAGGAAAAGAACAAAGGTCATATGGAAATTCAATCCTTAGGTAGAAAAAGTTAATATATCAAAGGTGCTTATATAAAAACTCCAAAAGTTGCACTTGGCAAGAAGTTGAAATCTATAAAAATAGAACATACAAATTCATGTTTAGTAAGCCAGCCTTTGCCTTGCTTTTTTTCAACATGTAAAACACAGGGAAATATCTCTATGTTCATATGCTCCTGCTCCAAGCCAAGTTCCAGTCACTACAGGGATCAATTCTTTTGGGTTAAATCATATAGGGTGAGTAATGACATATATCCCACCACTCTCCAATCTACACTACTATAAGACACCACTTAATGATCACACAGCTTATAGAATAGATACTGTAAAATGGGAAGAAACTTCAAAAGCAAAGAGAAACTGGGATGAGGGAATGGAGAAAAGAAAAAAAGGAAAAGTATATATATATTTGCGTATATATTTGTATGTATATATTTGCATATATATATGCACATATATATAATAGTTAAGATTGTTATACTACTAGTTTCTCTTAGTTCCCTTGAAAAAGAAAGGTTTGGGTTAATATTGTTTGGACAATTAAATGCCTATATCTTGTACTGTGAGTAACTAAAGATAACAATATGCAAGGTATTAATTATTGTTACCCTCCTATTATCTTGTTTTGAAATTTTGTTTTACTATTTTCTCTTTAAAATAAAACAATAAACAATCACACAACTTTTTCTGTCAAGCTTTAGAATCTTCCTTAAGCAATGCTGCAGATATCAACTACTATACCAGTAGATCCCCAGGAGTTCTCTAAACGTATTTTGTTTTTAAACTCAAAGCCCCAGAGGCTGGAGAACAGTATAGAGTCCTGTAGAACAGTATAGAGTCCTGTAGGACATTATTGAGCAAGTACTTTCTTCAAAGCAGGAAAAGCAAAGACTTTGGGTACCCAGGAAAGGGAAGTGTGGACAGGAAGGAAGAGCACATGGCAGAAAAAGGAAGGCAAAGCTAGGTAGGAGCCAGCATGTGAGCCTTGGGCACCAAATTTCTTCATTCTCTGACAGGGCTGGTGAAATCCATGGCATAGCCCCTAATTGTGTTGGTGGCTTGATTATGAACTGAGGATTTTGAAAGGACTGGGTCATAAGGACTCCAACCTTATCAACTGGATTAATCCACTGATAGAATCATAATTTGATAGCATTATTGAGAGGTGATGGAAACAGGAAGTGGGGTTTAGTTGAAGGCAGTGGAGCGTGGGGTTGTGACTATATCCAGCCCCCCTCTCCTCTGGCTTTTCCCGTCTCTGCTTCCTGGCTGCCATGAGGTGAGCAGCTTTCCTCCACCACACCCTTCCCCTTGATATTTCTGCTTCTTCACATGCTTACAAGCAATGGACTAAAACCTCAGAGACCATGAGCCAAAGTAAACCTTAATTCCTTAAGGTGTTTTTCTGAGGTATTTTGTCACAGTGACAGAAAGCTAACTGATACACAGGTGCTGCTAGAGCCCAGGTCCTTTGGAATGTGATTTCTGTCTGTCTGTCTGTCTGTCTCTCTCTCTCTCTCTCTCTCTCTCTCTACCTCTCTCTCCCTCTCTCTCTCTCTTTTCCCCATCCCTCTCCCTCTCTCTCTTTCTCTCTCTCACTTCCATCTCTGAACAGAGCACTACACTACATTACACTTTCAATACAGGGATTTGGGGAATTGCCAGGATTGTCACACATGGACAGCTTATGTGAGTCCAGAAGAGTAACATTGATTGGATTATGATCTATAGGGCTCAGGACAGCCCTTTCAGAGGGAGCAAAGATGTGGTCTGGAGGAGAAGGCTACAGAACAGAAAGAGGGTCTCCTGGTCAGGGCGTTGGTGGAAGTTTAACACCTTCTTGACCACAGACCATAAGACAACATTTCTGGGAATGAGGATTACCAGGTGGTCGAACGATGAAATCCAGGCCAGCCACTTGAGTATCTCCCATGCCTTCAGTAAGGCTGAGCTGAAGGCCTTTCGGTGATGGTACTAACACCTACTAGGTGCTCTAATGCCAGGTGTGGATGCAAAGAAGACCATGATGATGCGGCAACAGGAATGATCAAAACTAGCACCTCCACCTGTCAAATGCCTTTTTAGGTGGAATATATGTTAGATGTCCCAGATCATTTGGCCATTACAACATTTTAATTGTGAGTGGAACCAAAGATAAAATTTTCTTGGGAAACCAACATATATGGCTTTACAATGATTAATTCTTCCTGAGAGTGAGAAAGGAAGTTACGACTTGTGCGTCATACTGAGATGTTGTTTTGCATGTCAGCCTCCATGTGTTTCAAAGTCAAGTAAGAAGCTGGGTGTGGTGGTGCCTGTCTGTAATTCCAGCACCATTTGAGGGTGAGACAAGAGGATCACAAGTTCAAGTCCAGCCTGGGAAACTTATTGACTTAGCAAGACTATATCTCAAGATAAAAAATAAAAAGGGTTGGGATATAGCTCAGTCCAAAGGCCTTGATTTTAATCCCTGGTATGAAAGAAAATCAAACAAATAAGAATCCTTCTTACCTGGAAACTTAAAGATGGTCAAATCCCCATTAAATCAGCATAAAGGGACTCTGACAGGGTGGTGTGCTTTCATGGAATATGCTCAGGGTGTTGATAGACAAGCTCAAGTGGACATTCTCTATGGAATTCCTACCTGCTGATGTAACCAATGCTACCCACAGCCAGCAGGATGAGTCCTGTCTTCTTCGATGGATACTGATGAGGTCTGAGGATGATTTCAATCAGTGAGAATAACAATATGAAAGTGTGCTATAGGAGAAAAGGTGGAAAATTATAAGGACAGGGTACACTGAGTGCCAACAGTACCCATAGTTCTCTCTTTCCTCTCCTTCTAGCTACTTACACACAGCCAGATAAGAGTGCCCTAAAACTTGATTTATACCATGCTCTTTGGATGCCCATGGAACTATTGCTCACTGCACTGGTCTAAATGCCTCTGTCTGGCTACCAAGACTCTTTGGAATGTTCCATCACCCTCACTGATCCTGTTTATTGCACATTGCTTCCCTGTCTAACACATACACACATATGCACACACACAATTCACACACACACAAACACACACACACAGAGATTCCCCAACATGTACACACAGAAGCATGCACACTAATACTCTCCAAAACACACGTCTACATGAATGCATGGTCTATTCTCTCTCTGCCCCATACACACCACACACACACACACACACACACACACACACACAAACAGTCCTCTTGCACCGGAAGAAGGCAGTGTCTCTCATTCTTCTCTATACCTGTGTGCTGCTGCCACTCCCAGGCTCTTGCCTATGTCTCCTCCCACTGTGCAGACCTTGTGTTCTCTCCCCCCATGTTGTCTGAAGCCAGTGCAGTCTTCCACGATGCTGTGTCTGACTCTTCCTCTTGCTAATCTCTCTCTCAGTTCTCCTGCCATTATGCCCTGTGTCATGTAGCACTTACACCATATGTCTGCAAACTGGGGTCGGGTGCAGAGAACACTCCCCAATGTCTCTGCACTCCCCATAGTGTGCAGTGATGTGGGGCTGAGCTTGGCTGTGCTGAGGGTGGGGTTTGCATAAGTCTTCCTCTGAAACCTTCCATGCTTCCCTCTTCCCTGGTTCCACCCCCTCCCCATAACCATCTGCTTTCTCACATCTTCCAAACCCTTACAACAAGATTTTTAACATGACTTAAGCAAGGAAATCCACCTTTAGCACAGAGGTGCTGTAGATTCACGGCTGCTGGGGCTCACACACTTCTTGGTTATGTGGGAAGGTCATGGAGTCTATGAACAATGTTCTTCCACTTACTGAAGACGTTTATGAAGCGCCCTCACCCACTGTCTTTCCTAGTGATGTCCAGTAGTGTTACTCTGTTCTATTCATCACCATCACAGCCGTCTTTCCTCCTTCATTGGCCCAGTTCCCACAGAGCTTTGCCACCTCTTGCACGCAGAGCCTCCATTTTCAAGCCCCATCCCAGGTCCGATCCTGAGCCCCCAGTTGGCTGCCAGCCCTCAGTTACAGTAGTCCTTGGGGTTTGGGAGTGTCACTGTGCTCCTATGCCAGCCTGTGTAGCTGGAACTCCTGTTGTGGCCCCAGGTACCCTTTGCCATCATCCCACTGGGCTTGCATGTATGTAGATGTATCCCCAGGAAGCAGTGGTTTGTTCCAAACTCAGTTAAATTAATGAGGGCCCAACAAGGAGATCAAGAAAACTCTCAGATGACAAGAAATATGACAATTATTGATGGAGTCAGGGTAGGGTAAGAAAGAACAAGTCTTAAGGATAAGGATGGAACTATCGCTAGGTAGACAGGGCCTTCTAGGGTGTCCAGGCAAGGCCACAGCTGGGTGACACAGGACATCTCTCAAGGGCCTTGGGGACGTCACATTTCAGTAACAAAGTCCACAGAAACAGCATTGCCAACAAACCATCTCTTTTCCATACCTGGTCTGGAATTGGTCCTGAATAGCCTGGCTGGCTGGATAGACAAATGGAAGAACTTCCAGGCCCACCCTCAAGTCCTGTACTTCTCTTTGGTCTGGTTTTAGTATGCAGTTTCTGTGAAGTTTAAGGACACAGACTTCCTGGTAATGGACTAGTTTCAGAATGTCTCTGAGCTCCAGATTGGCTGTCACCCAATGGGGGCAATAAACAGGAAGGACTTCCTATGGGTTGCTGCTGAGAGTCAAAGTAAGGGCATGTAAAGAGCTTCCAGGGACCCTTGGCTGTGGTTATTACTATGACCAGGATGACTGTCACCCTTCATGTCAGCAGCGGGCCCAGGGTGGCTGAGCCCAAGGGTCTGGGATACCTGCAGCACCAGGTAGTAGGTATCCCTGGTTTCCATCTCCCCTGGCCTGTGGTTGGCAGGAGGCTACAGCATGCACAGCTCAGACGGTGGGAGCAGAGCCCTCTTGTGCTGTCCTGGGGCCCTTTCCTGCTCACAGCTGGTGCCAAGTCTCATAGGTACGGTGGCCTCAGAATCTTGACAGTACTGGTGACTAATGTCAATACAGACACCATGTTGATCCAGAGACCATCTCCAGAGACAAGAGATGGAGCTGTCTGTCCTACACAGCCATCTGCCTGCCTTCCCTTGGCTGGAGGTGGGAGGATCCAACTTCTATAAGAGCCATTAACAGGCTCATTATGCTGGTCATTGATCTGACAGATTTTATTAACCTCACCCACAATCAGTGGCTCCCAGTTCTGTGCATTAACGATCATTGGGAACAGAATTGCTGTGGAATAATGTAGTGGGTTTGCATTAGGAGTAAATGAGTTCATAGTGATTAATACTTTTACAACAAACAACTTGGGGATGCATGGCTGGTCGCCTTTAGGAGGAGCCTGCCCTTTGCAAGTGACATTCAGTTGGATTTCCAGATGAATTCTCCCTGATGGCTTCTGGGAAATTTACTTCCATGATATCATTAGTGATGGGCCATAGACTGTGGCTTCAAACCAGTTCAAAGGTCTTGAAAAGCACTGAATTTTCTGATTGGGGCTGGGAGCGAGCCTGAGCAAAGGAGGAAGACCACATTGTGTGAGCTTCCTAAATATTAAGCTGTGGTGGATGGAGAGCCCCGTATCACAAATGCACCGGGCTTCCGCTTCACATTCATATCAATTATATAACCTTTGTCAGATGGCACATATCCCACCCCACAAAGGAAGATAAAAAAGACAGTAACAGAAAAATCAAATATGCTTTCTGCTTCCAAAAAATCTAATAATTAGGCTGGGATTGACACAAATTAGAATGCTGCCAAAAAATACTGAAAACAGTGACTCATTCTGTATTTCAATTAACAGTTTCTCAGTTTCCCTTATAAACAGTGAAGCTGACAAAAATTAATTATCTCAGAGGGGTAAAATATTTCCTTCCAAAGTAAACAAAGCATCATGAGATGAGACAATAGTATGTGTAAACAAAGGCAGAGGAGAGTGCTTCTCCTGCTTTGTCAATGAAGTCATCATTTAAGTGTCCCTTTCCAAATGTACTGGGTATAAGGACAGTGTTCTTACCTCCTTTCCTTCTCCTTCCATTACCCATCTCTTCCCCTCCTAATCTTTGCATAATGCCAACTTTTATCTGAATACCTTGGACACAACTACAAGCCTGAAATATTGAGTTCAGTATTAGTACAATAAATGCACTTTAAATTGTCTGGGTGAAAAATAGCCTTGTAGGTAAATACTAAGATTTACCAGCTCACATAACATTCTTTTGTGATTGCATGGGTAGCAACTCAGAAAAGGATGAAAGTATGGTACTTATTTGAGACTTGTCTCTACTCACCCCATCCTAGCAGATAAGTAGGTACTATAAACAGTTTCCCTGGAGAGGGACATAAGTGACAGTGATAATATTTGGCCTGACTGGAGAAAGAGGCAAGTCTTAGTCACCAAGATAACATGGACACTGATAGTTCTTCTCCAGGGTCATGGAGATTCCAGGGGCCTCTACCTGTAAGGACTGATCATATGCTTTTCCTAAGGTTCTTGGGCCTCAGGATCCCTTGATTTTCTCAAGTGAAGGACATCTAGAAAGCCGATACATTTTACATATCATATGAGGCAGGCGTGGTGGCTATAATCCCAGTATTCTGGGAGGCTTGGGGAAGAGAATCACAAGTTCATACCCAGCGTGGGAGACTTAATGACTTAACATGACTCTGTTTCAAAATAAAACAGACAAAGGATGGGAAATGCAGCTCAGTGTAAAGACCTTGAATTCAATCACCAAACAATTAAATTATAATGTTTAAAATATGATCTTTGCTTCTTTCCTTCACTCCATTTCCTGACTGAACTCTCTCTTGTGTTGAGCTGAGTTGAGTTGAGCTGAGTTGAGTTGAGTTGAGTTGAGTTGAGTTAGTTGAGTTGAGTTGGGTTGAGTTGAGTTGAGCTGACCAAGCTAAACTAAGAAGTCAGCTTCTAGCCTCTCAGCCCAGTCACCAAGAGGCTTTCTATTAATGGGCCAACATCACTTTGCCTACTTCTCATGTGCCTTTGTTCTCCCATCCTTTTCTCTGTTTGGGGGACACTTAAGCCCTGATATTGGCCCAGCCCAAACTATGTCCTTCCCTCCAAGTTCTAACATAATGCTTCTGGTTTGTTTTTGGTACTAATGGATAGAGACCTTTAAATGAAAGTTTAATTCACTAACAAGATCTTTTGGTTTTCAAGTACATGAAGGAAGATTTCTGGGTTTATGTTATATTAAATATGTCTTCCTTTTTTAAAGAATGGAAGTCTTCACAAATGTTCCTTGGGGACAAACAGATGGTCAAAACATCAGTTATAAAAAGATGTGGAAATGGAAGCAAAAGCAAGCCTTAATAGAACATCATTATACCCTGGCTTCTTGTGACATTGCCAGATCTTCTTCCTTAAGCTTGAAAATTCCACACAGTAAATAGAGGCAGTGATAGTAGTTTTGCAAATCTGGCTATGGAAGTCCCTGATTCTACTGTTACCATGCATTTGCCAGTAAGAATTCTCTCATCAGTAACTCTGCTGTCCCCACGCCCTGCTCTTTCTGCCTCTAACTTCCCACAGGACAGCAATGAGGGTCTTGAGTGCTCTTCAGGGAATGCTTTGTATCCCAAAGCAGAGATTATGTCTATCCTCTCTATCTTTTACACTGTTAAAAGGGTAGTTCTGCTTCAAGTAAACCTGATATTGGGAAATTAGGAAATGTATACATAGCATATAGAATTTATATCTCTATGTTTAAAAAATTCTTCTACCTACATG